TAGAGTAGTTTTTTTAAACAGTGGATGAGTAATTTACTCCTTGATTTGCTTAATAAAAGCCTCCTTTTAGATCGTTTTGACAGACATGTTTGTGTATTATTTTCAACGTGTTTATTGCTAAGTTTAGTGTGGCAAAATAGAAGCGCAGCCTAATTCGCGAGCAGTGTATCTGGTTGCCATGACAACCTCACGCGCTTCCTGCCGCTGCTCTATGTAATCAGAGTATGAATTTGTAAATTTTCTATAACTAAACTAAAATTTGTTTAAAAGTGCGACTGTGCAAATCGTCCGGCTCGGTTTAATTAAACTTAAACTTAATTATTTTATTCTCTTCACCAGCCCAGGTACTGAAACGCTGGATCAAGGAACACAGTAAACAGGAGGTCTCTCCAGTAACTGAGAAACTGGAGTCCCTCTCCACCTCTTCTTCTAGCTCCTCATTTAGTGTGTGTCAGTCAGCTGTTCCTCACATACATTTTACCACAGTCTGTTATGACCTATATATTATGTATCATATTATGATACACTCAATAATATAATGCACTGAAAAAGTGAAAATTACTGCCATCATGTACTCAGATTGTGTACTGTAATTGTTGCACCTATATTTTGTGTTGAATACAGGATAGCGAGGACTCCTTAAAAGATGAATCCGCTCACTATGAGGGCTCATATTCAACACTGCTGTCATTACACATGTAACATCCTTTCAGGTGTTTCCTCGTTTGTCCTTATTGTTAAAATATTAGTTCACAACCAGATAATAATAAAGAGAGCCCTTTTTTATATATATATATAAATACCAGTAGTACTTTTTACTGACTTAATATTTCTCCAAAGTTTTCAGTTTTTTTTTTTTTTTTTTTTTTTTTAGAAATAGAAGGTGTGAATAATAATTAATTTTTCCATTCATTCTCATTATGCATGTGAATGAAGATTCAATGTAAAGTTTACAGTAATCAATACAGTTCTTGAACTTTTACTTTCTGAACTCTGAAACACATGGTGTGTTATAGACATTTTTGGAAGTGTTGATGCATTCCATGTCATAAGCAATAATTCTATCACATAAAGCATTTCATTAATGTCTGGATCAAAACAGAGGGCAGCTGAGGTCAGTAATTTGCCAGCTAGGAATTTTGATTTGATGAATAAGGGCTTTTAAATCTATGGATAGGATTAAGAGGTTCGCACCACCATCAGAGTGCCAAATCCCAGTCATTGAAAGGACAAATAAAGTTTGATCCACCACGTTGATGGCAGTTTATAAAGCAGACCTCATGCCCTAGTTTGTTTGACTGTTTCTCATGTTTAGAACTGTTTCCAGAGACTCACGTCAAAATGAGTAAGGTAAATGAGATGGTCAAAGATGATAACTTCTTTATTTTTGCATTTCTTAAGGAAAGTTTAGATTAGCATTTGACTGAACAGCTGCAAATACTAAATGCTAATTAGAAATTATGCTACTATGACTAAACAGAACAACCAAACTCTTACATTTGTCTGTATTGCTTTAATCTGTGACATCTCTTGATTTCAGATTATCTTTTATGAGGAGAGAAACTTCCAAGGTCGCTCCTATGAGTGCGACACAGACTGCCCAGACATGTACCTTCATTTCAGTCGATGCAACTCTATCAGAGTGGAGAGTGGCTGCTGGATCCTCTATGAAAGACCCAATTACTCTGGTTTCCAGTATGTGCTAACCAGAGGTGAATATCCTGAATACCAGCGCTGGATGGGCTACAATGATATAATTCGCTCATGTCGTACATTTTCCTATGTGAGTAATATGCATGTTAATGATTCCATAATATTTGTTGTGAGATCTATTTCTATATCTACATTTATTATTTTATTATATTTTATTATTCCATTTTTGTTGTTCACTGTTCTGGCACACCGAAAACTGTTGTTCTCAGTATCCACACTTGTATTTTGTGTTGTTGTACACATTTACACTGTAGACATTCAAACTCTAGGCCTTTTAAAGTATGTTAAAAGACCTTTTGAAATGTTTTGCAGAAAAGTGGTGGATCCTACCGTATCCGGATCTACGATCGGCCAGATTTCCAAGGTCAGATCATGGAATTCAGTAATGACTGCAAGTCCATTCATCAAAGTTTCCAGTGCCGCAGCGTTCACTCTTGCAATGCCATGGAGGGCTACTGGACCTTCTATGAGCACCCCAGTTATCAAGGCCGCCAGTACTTCCTGCCTCCTGGCGAGTATCGCAAGTTCAGTGACTGGGGTGCCGTTTGTGCCACCGTTGGCTCGTTCTGCAGAATCACTGATTTTTAGAGTTAATGTTATGAAAATAACTGCCTTTTCTGGCATTGATGTGTCAATAAAATGCCACAAAACCAAATGCTTGGCAGTGTATGTATTCATGCTGCAGGTGTGTTGATTACCACAGCTGTCTGTGATCAAACATATATAGATTTCAGGCTGTATGGCATCTGTGGGGACATGCTTAAATTCCTAGATTAGTATTTATATGTTTGCCAGTGTAAATGATTTAAAAATACACTGTAGTCATTGCATATCCATATCAATAAAAATGTCTTTTGCTTTTAAGTCAAGCAAGTTAAATACAGTACAGTAGGAAGTCACCATAGGGCGTGGTAGATTGTAACAAAGGTTTTGATCCCTACAAACTCAACTTTACTAATGGCAACCACACAGAACTTTCCATTCAGGTAACAAATTCAGTCACTGACAAAGCCTTGATGTCTGGTGTTAGGCCTTATTTTGATTAAGTAGCCATCTGGCACAATGACAGCTTCCTGCAAAAAGTTAGAATATTTGCTGCAATACACTTATTAGTGAAATAAATCATGGCAGTAGGACATACAAAGATTTCTTGAACAGATTCCCTCATAAACATCCTATATCAGCTATACCAAAGGCATTTTGCAATTTCAAGAAAAAAACCTTTTAGTTTCAATTAAATGTTCTTATTTAAACAGTCTTGTGATGTGTAATGCTAAAATAAATGCAGACAAATAACACTGTTGTTGTGTTGTTTCCCCAGACCTTTCCAGCAGCTTTCAACAGAACAGCTTTTGCTGGAAAAACTAATGTTACGGAGGCAATCAAAGTGATTGTTTAGGTTAAAACTGTCCATGTTTGCAATATTCCTGTACAGCTTCTGCTGACATGAGTACACTGTGATTTAAATGACAACACGAACAGTAGTACCATTATTTTCTTGGATATATATTAATAGTTCCAGCAGCATTTGGCAACTGAACAGGAAAAAAGATCAAAGCCTACACAAACATGGGAAAGGTCTGTACAGATTAGAATAATTTATTAGTCAAATATGAATTATTATTGTGCTGCTCTCATTATCTAAAATGTTTCCTCTAGATTATCTTTTATGAGGATAGGAACTTCGGTGGCCGTTACCATGAGTGCATGAGTGACTGCTCTGACCTGCATTCCTACTTCAATCGCTGTCACTCCATCAAAGTGGAAAGCGGTTGCTTCATGGTCTATGACCGAACGAATTTCATGGGCCACCAGTACTTTCTGAGAAGGGGCGAGTACCCTGATTACATGCGTACTATGGGAATGAACGATTGCGTCAGATCCTGTCGCATGATCCCAGTGGTAAAGACTGAAGCTAATTGTTATCTAAAGTTATCAATGTTCTTGTTTTAATGGACTGAAATTAAGCACTCAGCCTTAACTTCCTGTTATTAACCCATTAGCATCGTGGGGCCTTCAAAATTAGGCTCTATGAGCGCCAGGACATGGGCGGCAGGATGGTGGAGCTTGAGGATGATTGCCCCAATGTCATGGACCGGTTCAACATGTCCAACTTCCATTCCTGTCACGTGATGGACGGTCACTGGCTCGTTTATGAGCAGCCCAACTATACGGGCAGGCACTTCTACCTGAGGCCTGGCGAGTACAGGAGGTACAGTGACTGGGGCGGCATGAGTTCAAGGATGGGCTCCATCAGACGGATCATGGATCTCTAATGAAAGGAGTCCATGTGAAATGTCTGCTGTATGCCCTTTTTCACACACTAAATAAAATGGTGCCTCTGCTCAAGTGTCTTGAGTTTTGTTCTAGCTCCCTCTACCTGGAGGAGTCACTGCCTGATGACGACACTTGCTATAGGCTGCCAGACTGCTTGACACTGTTCGGAGAACTAAATAAAACTATAGAGACATTTTCCTCATTGAGACATGTTTTGAGTGTCCTCTCTGCTTGTGCTGTATATTAACGCTCACTCATGGTAAATATCTAATGATAAACAGATGAAGTGTAGAAAACCTGCTTTATAATGTTCCTTCCTGGTGGAATGACCTGCCCAAAACAATCCGAGCAGCTGAGTCCTTAACCATCTTCAAGAAACGACTAAAACACATCTGTTCCACCTTTATTTGACCCTCAAACTCTAGCTTTCTATTCTATTTTAATTCTACTTTATCTATATTTATCTTCTTTTTTTATTTAAAAAAAAGAAACAAAAACACTAGCTTTCTATTTTTTCTATTCTATCTACTTGTTTTTCTTTGTGTGTGTGTATAATATATATATACAC